TGATAGTGGATTACACATGGCTTCATTTGTTAAACTCCTTTCTACGTGTTTCTTTTCGTTGTCGTTCGTTTTTTGCCACTTCCACTTCCCCCCCCCCCCCCACCTTCTGTATCGCTCTTTTCTTTTGTTCTTCTCAGGAGGATCGTCGGCTTTCTTTGCAGGTTTGTACTCACGCATCTTCTTCTGTTTCTGTTTATTGGTGTTGTTTCTTTGCATTTTGCTTTCCATTGTATATGTTCATGTTTCAAATTGTAAAATGCCAAGGCGGAACTCTGTTTATACTAGCCCTTCTTCGTCTTCCTCTGCTCATGGTTCCCTTCCCAGATCGAATTGTAAAATGCCTAAGCGGAAATTTGCTTATACGGCGCCTTCTTCGTCTTCCTCTGCTCATGGTTTCCTTCCCAAATCGGCTAGAATGGAAGGATTGAAGGTTCTTCCTCTTCCTCTTACGTTAGACATTGGGGATTGTAACTGCGTCTGTCAATTTTGTGGTGCTGTTTTTTGGTTTGCTGAAAGAAATATAGTCGGCTCAACTGCTAATCGGCCGGTGTACACTCAATGCTGTAAGTCTGGTACCGTTATCCTCCCTTACCCTTTCCCCCCCACCTCCTGAAATTCGATCCCTTTATTTAAACAGTCGCTTCATGGCTAATATCAGGGCATACAATAGTATGTTCTCTATGACTTCTTTTGGGGCTGATGTCGATGAAGCAGTTAATGATGGTCGTGGACCATATGTTTTTAAAGTCTCTGGTCAAATCTACCACTCGATTGGGTCCCTATGTCCTGAAGATAATAACGGCCCTAGATTCTTGCAGTTATACACTTATGACACTGACAATGAAGCTTCCAACAGACTTAATGTCTTTCCTTCTGTTAAAAAGAAAGACTTGGACATTGAGACAGTTAAAGTTCTTATAGGATGTTTAACAGCACACAATGAGTACATACGTACTTTCAAAACATCCAAACAGATTGCTGATGAAATGGGATTACAATCTTACTCTGTCTGCTTATATAGTGACCTCCCTGATCGTAGATATACTGTTCCAGCTCCGGGTAGCCTAGGGTGTATGATCATAGGTGATGAAAATATTTGTGGAAAATATGATATTGTTGTCCAATCAAAAGGTGGTAATGCTCAGCGTGTTAGTAAATTACATCCGAGTTATATGCCCCTACAATACCCTTTGTTGTTTCCATATGGAGAGGATGGTTGGTCATCACGTTTAAAGCTTCAAAACAAAACCGGTTCCTGTGCAAAAAAAACTCAGTCAACATGTATTACAGCTATCAGATACATCCGCGTCAGCATATATACTCACATGTCTTGGAATCAGGGCGCCTCTTCCAGCAATATCTGGTCGACGCATATACCTGTGTTGAGGCAGATCGGTTGGAATACATTCTGCATCATCAAGAACAGCTAAGGTCAGATTATGTGAGTGGTTTATATGATGCACTATCGAAGGGCGATAGGGACAGTAAAGTGGTGGGTAAACGTGTTTATTTACCTGCATCCTTTGTTGGTGGTCCCCGTTACATGTACAAACATTACCAAGATGCACTAGCTATTTGCAGGGTGTATGGTAATCCACAGTTTTTCATTACTTTCACATGTAACAGTAAGTGGCCAGAGATCCAACGCTTTATGGATCTTCATCAGCAGCGTGATGTTCACAGTAGAGCTGACATTATTTCACGTGTCTTCCAAATAAAAATTGACGCCTTTATCAGGTTTATGAAGGAAGACAAGACCTTTGGTGATGTCATTGGATGTAAGTGTCTATTCAGTTGTTCACTGCATCGTACATTCATTTATTTATACCTTCCTTTCTACCATATAGTTGTTTCTGTAATCTGACACGTCCATTTCATGTGTACTCAGATCTATACACAATAGAATTCCAGAAAAGAGGCCTTCCACATTGTCATACATTGTTATGGACATCATCTGCAGATAGGATAAAAGAACCGGCTGACATTGATAGGTATATAACTGCAGAGTTGCCTGATCCTTTATTAGAAAGAGAACTGTATGATGTAATAACAAACTGCATGATTCATGGTCCTTGTGGATTATTAAATAAGTCTGCACCATGTATGAAGAACGATAATTGCAGCAAGAAGTATCCAAAACCATTCCAAAAGAGCACTTTCTTTGACAAAAATGGGTATGCCTGTTACAAAAGAAACAGTGAGTCACGTCACACAATGGGAAACGGGATCGTCATTGACAATGGTTATGTTGTACCATACAACAAAAGATTATCTTCCCGGTTTAGAGCGCATATAAATGTGGAATATTGTGGTTGGAACATGATGGTAAAATACCTTTTCAAATACATATCAAAAGGCGTCGAACGCATCAGATTCACAGTTCAGAAAAATGAGGCTTCTGCAGAGACCACTTCCGCTCATGACATCCGCCCAATTAACGAGGTAAATGCCTTCCTTGATGGCCGGTTTGTTTGTCCTCATGAGGCTGCATGGAGGATTCTGAATTTCGATATACATGTCCGACGTCCACCTGTAATGACACTGCCTGTCCATTTGCCTCATATGCAAAATGTCATCTTTAGAGCTGATATGCCACTACACCGTGTGCTTAGTAATCCGTCCCTCGGAAGAACACCACTTCTAGGATGGTTCGACAGTAATGCACGTGACCCTACGGGACATGATCTAACCTACATGGACTATCCAAAAGAATATAAATGGGATTCAGATTCAAAAGAATGGTCACCAAGGGTTTATGAATCTTCAACAGCAATCGGTAGGCTGCTTTTTGTGCATCCATCTTCAGGCGAACTGTTCTATCTACGGATGTTGTTGTGCCACCAAAAAGGATGTACATCATATGAAGATGTTCGGACAGTATCAGGCGTCTTACATCCAACTTTCCGTGATGCATGTAACGTTCTTGGTTTGATAGGAGATGATATTGAATGGATGGCTGCGTTTAATGAAGCGTCATCTTGGGGCACTTCCGCTCAGCTACGGTCTCTTTTCTGTCATCTTCTTTTATTTTGTGAGGTCACCAATCCAGTCTCACTGTGGGAAGCTGCATATGATAAAATGGTGGATGATTATGTACATAGAGTTCATGTAGAATTTCCAGATAGCAGCCTTGATGTACATTCTGATATAATTCAGCAACAGCTTCTTCTGGATCTAGAGAACATCCTCCGATCAAGTACTCCAAGTCGATCATTGGCTGACTTCAGGCTATCCACTCCATTAGCTTCTTCCACAAATGTCCTGACCAACCGTCTTCTGCTGGAAGAAAACATGTATGACAAAGAAGATCTATATAGACAACATCTCCAAATGGTGTCACTCTAAACAAACAGCACTGGCTGTCTACCATGCAGTTCTTACTTCACATGAGATGAAAAAAACAATGTCTACTTTTTGTCTATGGACATGGAGGTACTGGCAAAACCTTCTTATGGACTGTTATTATCTCATATTTCAGATCACTGGGGAAGGTTGTTCTTGCTGTCGCAGCTTCTGGAATAGCCTCACTTCTGCTCCCATGTGGCCGGACAGCCCACTCAAGGTTTAAAATACCTATTGACTTATCTGAAAAAAAATCATGTGACATTAAAAAGAAGACATCACTTGCAGAATTGCTACAACATACCTCACTAATTATTTGGGATGAAGCACCAATGAGTGATCGACGTTGTTTTGAATGTGTCGACCGCTCACTTCGTGACATTCTTGACTGTGATGATAAAGCGTTTGGTGGTGTTTCTGTTCTTCTTGGAGGAGACTTTAGACAAACATTACCTGTAAAGTCAAAGAGTACACGCGAAGCCATCATCTCTTCAACATTGCCTCATTCTTATCTGTGGACATCCTTTAAGGTTTACAGGCTAACTGATAATATGAGGCTGATGAATGCAACTGCTGCTCCTGCTTGCCAGTTCTCTACGTCGGATTTCGCAGAATGGATACTTAAAGTTGGTAATGGGACTATAGGTGAACCTGACAAAGAAGACCCAACAAATTCATTTTGGATAAAGATACCAGACCATCTTTTAATTCCTCCTTCAAAGAACTCACTGCAGCTTCTGATAGACTTTGTTTATGGGGATGGTGTCCTTCACAACGCATCTGCTATTGATCTTTCGGATAGAGCAATTGTATGCCCCACAAATGAGGCTGCTGACAAAATTAACGAACACATTGTCCAAATGACAGGTAACGTTCACAGGATTTATAGGAGCACAGACACAATGCAACCTAATGGTAAATACACGTCAGAATTAGAAGGTTTATATCCAATAGAATTTCTAAACCAGCTGCATTTTGCTAACATCCCTGCACATTTGCTTACCTTAAAACCAAAGATCCCCATTATTTTGATGAGAAACATTAGTCAGAAGGATGGTCTTTGTAATGGTACCCGACTTATAGTATCCCACTTACTTCCATCGGTCATAGAAGCAACTGTCATAACAGGCACGTGTATTGGGAAACAAGTATACATCCCCCGTATCAAATTCATTCACAATCCACCAGACCTACCTTTTTCATTTGCAAGAAAACAATTTCCAATTAAAGTGTGTTATGCCATGACAATAAACAAAAGCCAAGGACAGTCACTTAAGAAAATTGGAGTCTATCTGCCACAACATGTTTTCACACATGGTCAGCTTTATGTTGCTTTGTCTAGGGCAACATCTCCAGACTCGATCAAAGTCCTCATAAACAATGATGACAATAATGTCCATAATCTGACAAAAAATGTAGTTTTCAGAGATTTGCTGTCTAAAGTATAAATTTGTAATCATAATATAATGGAAAAGTAAATAACTTTTTTTTTTCTTGCTTAACTAATTCCATAGCCAATAATATTATCTTTTATATACTTTTTGCTTTACTTTATTAATTTTTTTTACCTGTTTACTCCGTTGTTACCAGTTACAAATTATGTAATTCTTTCTAACAACAAGTGTTAACTGTATATTAGTTGAACTATTGAATACAAGATGACAGCCATTTCAGAACTCAAATATGGTTGTATTGGAGGACCATTACAAGTACGGATACTACGGAAATGGAAACCAGATAACCGCCGCCATGAAACATGGTATCTGGCAGTCGACAAATTTGTAAGCTGTTCTTATTTAACTTTGTGTTTGTTCTCTGTTTCTGTAAAGATTTTTTTTATCAGAACTAACTAGCATCACATGTCAATAACCGTATCAGGGAGACGCCATTCAGATATTAGGCCAACGAACCAACCAGGGTTATATAGAGTCTATACTCACAATCTCTGACTGTTTTACCATTGATGAATATACATGTCCTCTGTTGGATCAATATCAAAAAATGTTAGAACAGGATTTCTACATAGATGTTGGGATTGCATCCACGATCCAACCAATGCCTAACACATCTATCCTTCCAACAAGTTGGTTTCGTTTCCTACCAAAAAAACAAATTCTAGAGTTGGGAGAAAACCCACCATATTGTCCAGGTACCTCATGAAATCTATAATCATTGTTGACGCAATTTTACATTTTTTTTATGTATATCTCTATTTTTTCCTCTTTCCTATCATTGCTTCAAAAACATTCACATTAAATTGTGTAGATAACATCACAGTTCTTCTCTTTTGAATATATGTTTCTCACACCTACAGATTTCATTGGAGTCATCACCAAAGTGAAGGATTGCAACAAAAAAGATGGAGAGCCTTTTCTATTGCTGGTCTTAGCTGATGAAAAGTAATGCCACAATAAAAATATTGTATATATATATACATGTTCTTAAATCCTCTAATTAGTCTTCATTGTGTATATCAAATTCAGTGGTGATGAACTTGCAATTAATCTTTGGAAAGAATGCACCAAATGTCCAGAGAAGTTTGATCGTCAAAAATTACTGCCTCTCCCTGTAACAACAGTTGTTGCGGTTACCAACCTAAAGGCTTCCAGAACTGACGGTATTATTTCTTCATCTTTGTTTTACATTGGATATCTCTTTTCTACAAAGACAAAACCAACAAATTTACCCCCTTCTCTGTTTATTCTAAACAAGTGCTTAGGCACGGATCTTCAGTTGCAACACACCTCTATGTTAATCCTGACATCCCAGACACTGCCCTACTGATACACCGGTAAACAACTGCCACAAAGTCAACGATGTCAGCATAATCACAGACATACAAATTAGTTAACATAAGTTTTCTGCATTCCGCAGCTATACAGGTCCAACAACACCTATAAGTGAACATACAGGCATACAAACAACAATTGATGACCTCACAAAGAGGACACGTTCTGAGCTTTTGGTAATACATAACCAAACAATTTATTCGGATATCTCCTCTAAATGATTTATATATACTTCCTTTTCTGCATTTTCAGGATAAGACATTCAACCTGAAAGCATCAATCCAACATGTCTTCTTTAAAGATTACTGGTGTCAAGTGACATGTCCTGTCTGTAAAGATCCTATTTTTGAAAAAGGCACCAACTGGTTTTGCAGTGCGCATGGTACATTTTACAACACCAAACTTCATGTAAGTTCATCACCTTCTAAACGTGACAACAAATTGACAACCTACCACAGACTCAGTAACACATGTCTTTATGCAGATATAAATTAAATGTAACTGTTATAGACGAAACTGGTGTCTTATCTGCATCCATAACTGATTCTGTCGCACGAAAAATAATTGGCAAAGGGCCAGACAAACTCTTTGCAGAAAATACACACCTAGGTAGACGAAACTTGCCTACCTCTATCAAGACAAATACATCACCTGTAAAACAAATGACAATTCAGTTACTAAGAACCTCAGCAGCTGGTACCATCCGTTTTCTCCTTGTGGATATTGCCGATCTCCAACCTGTCGCCCAGTCAACAATCCCACAGACCCCTACCCCGATGGCTGAAACCAGATTACCTGACCAATACCGTAAAGATTCAATTGGATCTACAACATCACAAAAAATCAGATGTCTCAAAACGGTTGTCTTACACCCCTTTAGGTATACAAACAATCTTATTACACACACAAAAAATGTCAATATAAACTTTGTCACTAACTCACTTTTCTTGCTCTACAGAGAAACAGCCTCAGAAAAGATTAAGGTCGCATAAAGACAACCCTTGATTGGCTACAAATGCAGCTGGGATATATGCTTTCATCTTAAATCTTTTTACTTTTTTTTTTATCCTTGGCAGCTACGTTTCCATATGATATGTTTATACCACTCAGTTTTTTGTTCAAACACCTTTACCTGCTACAATCTAACTTCCTCCTATGCCTTATGATAAATATCTCTCAAATGCATTCCATCTTTTGCATCCTATACTGTGCTCTACAACAACACAGATCCAAACATATTCAATAGCTCAGGAGATATTACATAAGCGCTAAAGTAAGTCACTACGATTCCGTTCAGAATACATATATCGCTACAAAAAAAGACTAATATTTACGATTTACCATCATTCTACAAACCACATCTAATACGACAATCCATACTAAGAAAGAATACAGATACATAATATAAAACCATCTTATATTCTACACAACCCATGATAAATAAATATACTTCTTTAAAGGCCTCCAACGTATCAATCTTGACACCTCTCATTTTCATCGGATCCTTTCTACAACATAATGACAAAGTTAAATAGTAAACATACAGTTAATTTCTGATTAAATCATAAATTATCATAAAATTGGAAAACCCAATACCACATTTTCTTGGTTGAATGACTAAAAATTATATATCCTCAATGACTGCAAAACAACTGGGCTAAACTTATGTTCTTTTATTGTTACTGCACTGGGCCTTTATCCCCAGTAACTCATGTATTGGGCCCAAACTGCTCTCTAAATCCTCTTTGACCAATAAAAAAATATTTTCAGTATCTATGCGTTACGATATGACATAAAAGGTTCCAACAAGTACAAAAAATTGACAGCACACCACCTGAAAAGTAGACACTAGGACTTTCATGTCACTATATTCATCCATCTGCACCCCGAGAAAACACGTTGCACTTTCCACATCTATTATATTAGACTCCCAGTAAATACAGGATCTGCTTGCAGCTGCACGCCTGCACATACCAGATTGAGAGAAGGGTTCGTCATGGACAACAAATCCTATAACACCATCGCCACAGATGAACAACACCAAGAGTGTGGTTTCCTAAAAAAATTGCTTCACGATGCAGCTATTGACGACCAATCAATAGAAAACAATCTGGACTTCATACTTGCGACTCTCCATAAACGAATACAACTTTATAAATGTAAAAGTCATGTATTTCGACTATCATAATAAATTCTGATTATGCAAACCAAAAATTCCAATCCCGCAACGCGGGTTTCTTCACTAGTTATAATTAATTAAAAACCCACATATTTCAAAAAAATTGATTAGTATATAAAATAGTTTTTTTTCTATTTCTTTTTTTTAATTTAGCTTTTCAATTTAAGTTTTATATTAAGATAAAACCCATGCAATCCTTATCATATCATACTATATTATAAAGGAAACATTTTTTATTTTACCACATTCATTTGAAACTCTCATGAAGTTTTCCTTTCACCACATTCATTTGAAACTCCCATGACTTTTCAATTTCTTTCTAATAATGATTATAAGTTGGTTAATAAGATTAAATAAATATCAAACCTAAAGTGTAATCATATATAAACTAAATTTCAATATTAAAAGAATATCTTTACTTCTCCTTATAAATTTATGTTTTTTTTTAACTTTTTACATATTATACTTAATTTATTAGTTTTAATATATTGTTGGATATAAACCATTATCATTTTAAAGCTACAACTTTTGAACAATTTGTATAAAATATTTAAATTATAAACTTAAATATAACATTACAGGATCAACTTAAATATAAATTTTAGTTTAACTTAAACAACCCAAATAATATTTTGTAAATAGTTAAAAGTGATAAATTGTAGTGTCTTTCTAATAATGATTATAATTTTGTTAATAAGGTTAAATAAATATCAAACCTAAAGTGTAATCATAAATAAACTAAATTTCAATATTAAAATAATATATTTACTTATACTTATAAAGTTATGTCTTTAACTTTTAACATATTATACTTAATTTATTAGATTTAATATGTTGTTGTATGTAAACCATTATCAATTTAAAGCTATAACTTTGGAATATTTTGGACAAAATATACTTAAACTGTTAATTTAAATATAACATTACAATGTCAACTTAAATATAAATTTCAGTTGCACTTAAAAAACTCAATGAATATTTTGTGAATAGTTAAAAGTGATAAATTGTAGTGCTAAATGCAAAAAACTAAATTATAATATCAATTTAACTAAAGTATTTCCTAAAAATATTTGCATAATCGTTAAAAGTTTTCAAAAAAGTAGCTTAAAATAAATAACAATAACAATAGTTAAAAATAACTTTATATAAATGATTATATTGTTACCTTTAAAATAAAAAAATAATGTCTGATGTTTTAAATAATTATAATGATAGAAATTAAAACGTTAAGAAAATAAATTTTAAAAAATTAATTAACAATAACAAAAACTATAAATAACATTAAGTCATATATTATATTTAATTTTATTCATGAGTAACTCGCAGGTAGAAGTCATTGAAACGATTGCGATTATATAGTTATAATAGATGTATATATTCTCATATAATTCAAAATAATCAATGTATTATATATCAATTTAGTATACGAATTATTATATCAAATTTAACAACAACGTTATCGTTATATTAAAAAAAACATATATTTGTAAAGATTTCAACTATATAGGTGTTTCTGCGCAATGCGTGGGCATTCGCCTAGTACTTATCATATTTTAATGACTCAATTAATCATAATTAGTAAAAAATGTACTTTTATAATTAGATATTGTAACGCCCCGATTCTCAGGTATTGATTTATGTATGAATCCTTCTTGGTCTATGGGTCTACTCGACGAGTTGGTCGCCCTACTCGTCGAGTAGTAGCGGGATGGTCCATGCGTTTTAGTGACCTACTCACCGAGTCCAAGAAGGGACTCGATGAGCACGAGCTGGCAGATGAAACCCTAAATTCTGGGGCATTTCACCATATTTAAAGGATCATTGGCCTCCCCCAGCCTCCCCTTTACTGTTTGTTGTCCCTCTTTAACCCTAAGTCGTGTGTGTGTGTGTGTTCTTTTGGAGAGTTTGAGCTTGGAGGAAGGATTTTGGGTGAAGGAAACACTTGGGGAAACAAGCTAGTTGAAGCAAGAGCTCGTGGGATTCAAGATCTGCATCAGTAAACACTCTCTTGAAGGTACTTGACCGTTCTCCTTGGCTCATTTTCACCTAAACCCTCTTTTGCATGAGTTTTAAGAAAGGTTTCTTGTGCTTAAGCCAAGATCTGAAGTTGTAACTTCAGATCTGGACTCCCCTTGGCCTCTAAATTCATAAAGTCATCAACTTTTCCTAGTATGAGCCTTCCCTCAAGTGTGTAACTTCATTTCAAGCTTAGTTTTGTCAATTTAGGGTCTTAAAAGCCTCACATGCACGTAAAGTTTGAAACTTTACGTGATAAGCATGCCTAAGGAAGTTGGATCTGCAATTTGGAGCCTTTGGCATGGCTTAAAAGTGTATGTATGGTTAAAGGACTGAAGGGACTCGGCGAGCCGCATGGTCGACTCGACGAGTCATATGAAGATGGGCATGGACCCGACGAGTTGGATGAACAACTCGACGAGTCCGATGAAGATTGTCGTAGACTCGACGAGTTGGATGAACAACTCGGCGAGTCAGTTAAGGTTTCCCAAATAATGGATGCGTGTGGACTTGTCGAGTTACAAGAAGGAAAACCCGACAAGTGGTCGTGGAGCTTCGACCACGAACCTTAGGAACTCGACGAGTCATTCTGGTGACTCGGCAAGCGGACAAGTATTGCAAGAAACTCGGCGAGTAGCTGATGGTACTCGACGAGTTGAGGTCAACATGGACTGTTGACCTTGACAGTTGACTTTGACTTTGACAAAGGGTTGACCAGTTGACTTCTGGGGTATTCAGGAATTTATAAACCTTAAGATGTGTTGGGTATAGGTGGTGGGATTCGTGGCGGTGATTCGAGAGTTGAGCGTTCTATTTCCAGTCGGCAGTCGCAAGGTGAGTTATCCTCACTGTACTAAGGGGTCTAAGGCATCAAGGTCGGCCCATTGGATATGTTATCCTAGCAGTGGTTATGTTGAGTATGAGTTAGTGTTGCATGCTAGTGGTTATGCCAGTTAGGTAGATCTGTAGGACTACCCGTGTTGTTATATGAATATCTGCATGCTCAGTAGTTATGTTATATGTTGATATGTTATATGGGATGGGTTGAGGTGATACTGCTCCGTGCGGTAACCAACAAACCCTGGAGCATTCCAGTTACGGGCTAAGGGAGACTCGTACTGTGGGCTCGATGGCAATCCAGATGTGAGCTGTGGGCCCGTAAGGCAATCCAGACTCACACCGTGGGCTCAGGGGTGATCCAGTCTGCAAAGCTGTGGACCCAGTACATGCTGTTGCTTATTTGTGTGTCATGTGCAGTGTATCAGTATTTTGGGGGAGCTCACTAAGCTTTTGGGCTTACAGTTTCAGTTTATTGTTTCAGGTACATCAGGGGATCGCGACAAGGCGAAGGCATGATCGTACAGCTCCTCCTGTTTTGTTTATGGTTCTGGGGAAAAACTCTAATATAAACTATTTTGGAAAACAAATTTGTAATCCTTAATGGATCTTTAATGTTTTGAAAAGTTTAAATTTGGTCTCATTTTTATGGGTATTACAAGTTGGTATTAGAGCCTTGGTTTGAGTGAATTGGAGGAACATGAGTGTGAATCCAGTCTCAAATCAAGGAAAGGTTTTCAAATATGATTTCTAAAATGGTTTTCAAATAAGTAAAGGAGGATGCAGGGTGTACGATCAGCCGGAGCCAGTAAGTAGACCCCAAAATACCATACAATTATTTGATTATGTGATATGTTGGAACAGCATGCTAGAGATAGGCTAGGGATCTTCAGGAATTGCATGATAGATTTGCCTGATTATATGATGCCTGCTAGCCTAGGGTTTTCCTTATATGAGATT